GATTCAACCATCATCTAAATGGAAACCTATATGTACATAAATTGATTTATTGAATCATGTTAGAATTCAATATTGATCCTGATCATCCAACAATCTAATGGTAATCTGCATGTACATGTTAAATTATGTGTATGCTGATATACTTTAAGACTACATCTTAATAGCTTGTTCAAAATTACCTTTTCCTAAAATGTGAAAATAAATATTAAAAATGAAATAAAAAATAAAGACAGACGACATGATTTTAAACTTAAAATTTATTGAACATCAAGGCAATGACAATTGCCGATAATGTAGCCTGAAGAAAAAGTCCAGAGTAGTTAAAAAATGTAGAAAATTTGTAGAAAATCAAGAGTAGTAGAAATGTAGAAAAAATAGAAAATTAGTAGAAAATGTCATTTGCCACCTGCATCGGGACTTCTTTGGACAGCTCCCTGCTGCTCCGTAGCATTTCTTGGGATGCCACCCTTGTCGGTTCAAGAGTACCCAGATGCAGCGCCAAGATGGCGGACCCAAAGATAGAAAACCACATTTACAAAACGCAATAAGTTTCCGCATTACCTCCGATTGGCGGACCCAAAACATGAACTTTGAACTTCTGCTTTGTGATGCCAGAACAGTAGGTGGCGGTATGTACCTACACTTTCTGACGGCAAAATTTACAGAAGAAGAAGAACTCAATCGACGTCGTTACAGGAGCACACACCTTACAATGCGCATTTGTACAGCGAAACAACGGTAAGGAAAATATTATTTTATATTATTTTAATCAGGGCTTCCCCAGCCAGGACTTTGGCTCAGACTGTGGAATCTTCATGTTGATGGTAGGTCATAACGAGCTGTAATGCACAAATATTGTATCTAGAATAACTTTCCAACATAGACTTTTTTAAAGTTATCTCACATGTTGTCTCATAATTTTTTTTTTTTTTAAGTCTGCCATGTACATCGTTATGGAGTCACAGTTTGACTACTCAGTTTTAAGTACTTTTCAACACGCAGTGTCATCCTCAAGGTTGTATTTTGTATTGTGCACTAAAATGAAATACAAACAACAATTTCAGCATGACATGCCTGTTTTGCGGCGATGGTGGTGCCTGTTGCTCCTGGAGAACAATTCTTTGAACAGGTAGACAGTTTAAGTAAACTAGATGTCCTAATTAACTGGAAGACAATCAATATATTGTACTTAAAGATATATTGTCATTACAGTTGTGGGAAAATCTTCGCCCACTGGACCGAAGAATGTAAACAGCTCATTGCTGGAAAGCATACTCCGGTCTTCAGACTAAAGAGGAAGGCCGAGCAGCAGGACATAGAGGTTAGAAAATTGCCTTCTAAAAACAGTATTATCTCAGTGGGAGTCCTTCAAAATGCACACAGTTGTATGGATCAACATTGTCTCGATGTATTTGGTAATTGATGTTACTTTTCAAATTGACTTGTCAAGGAAACCATGACGCAGATGGCATCGGATGTCCGAAGAATGTGCATGGCAGAGTCGATGCAATTCTGTGTCTACCAGACATCGAACAACACAGGAGAGAGGTGTGTTGCAGACTCAATTTAATAAATGCAATTATCGGGGCCTATTCAGTGATTTTCCATGAAGTGACCACTTTTACATATAGTTTAAATGCACGAATCATGCAGGAAAATTATTTATACATTCAAATGTGCTGTAGAGGTATAATCAATTGGACAGCGTGTTTGTTTGATATTATGTTTGTCTCTCATTTGATCAGATTGCTTTACCCTGAGGTAAAATTGATCAAATGGGTCCAGTGCAAGACGTGCAGGGGCTGGCTGCATCAGGATTGTGCTGGGATGGAAATGGAGCCGTTTGACTGCGGGTGCGAGGACTCCATTGAGCATCCTCGGTATAACATAATTTATCAAGGAAACATAGTATCAGTCAAAAATACGAGGCTCAAAGGATGAAAAAATGAGGGCTTGCTCTTTTTCTTATTTCTCTGCAGGATCAAGGATGCTGTTGACAGTGGAGGAATTCATGCTGTCTTTTCTAAGACACAGATCAAGGTTGCTTTTGAATGCACTATCAGTTGTTAAAGCCACCGTTTCTTTTTCAGATGATTACATTTTTGTCTCTTGCTCTTTGGTTTCAGACATTACATGATGATCTCCTGTCTGGAAAGCTCCGCTCCAACCGGATGTTCCTTTGGAGGAATCCCGCCACCTCACTCCGACTGAAGCAGCACCTCAAGATAAGGACATTAAGTTGGAGTGAGCAGCGCGTAAGTAAAAATGCCATCCATCATGAGTATTTTTACTCTCAGGGGTGTTACATTTGAAAGGTGTTTACTTTGTGTGTTTTTCTTCAATAGATGTTCGAGCTCCTGCAGTTCATTGAGGTGGCAACTAACATTTCCAAAAAAATAAAGAGAGGCGAGATTCAACGGCTTGATTTCGTTTTTGATGTCATGCTCCCAGAGGTGAGTAGATCAAACTATATAGCTTGCTTTGAAAATTGATGATATTGTTAAGAGGTTGTTCTTATTCATTTGGCAAGATCAAGAACAACAATTAACCCATACTGCATAACTTCAATTGTTCACATTATTTGACTGTTTTTCAGCTTTTGATCAAAGCACTGAAGGAGCATGGCATCAACAGCCGAGTCTCGTTGCCATAGTATCAGAAATACACAAACATGGCGACGAGCGCATCTAGCAGCGAAGACAAGCGAAGAGGAAGAAAAGAACAGGAAAAAAAGAAAACAGCCTTCAAAAGTGTATAAAAAAGGAACGAAACGATGCTATATGCATATATCATTTGTCCATCATTTTTTAATGAGGGCTTTCACCACTGTATTTTGCTGTTCCTCAGGCTTGAGTAGATTCCTCAGAGAGAGAGAGGAAATTGGTTGGGACATACTAAGTTTTAATCGGGGTATTTTGGAATGCTCTCGAATCTCCTTTGAGGGTAACTTATATTTTTGTGATTACAAATTATGCATTACCTGTCAGAAGACTACGATTAAAGCAAAATCACAACCCATTGTCCTCAAGGTATTGAGAATTTAGGCCTTGATTTAAAATGCATTAATGCAACACCCCCGCCTATAAAATGCTCTCACCCAGTCTTCAGAGAATGAATGGGGAGGGAACCAACTGCTTCGTCACACTTTGAGATGTTTCAAACATGAATTGCAATATAAATAAAATTATTATTATTATTATTATTATTATTATTGGGATTGTCCTGCTGACAATGATTTGAATTAATGCTGGCATTTCAAACATTAAGTGGGAGAAGGGGGGAGTGGGAGGAGAGGGTTGCCCCCCCTCCCCCCCAACAAGAAAAAAAAAAGCAAAGAAAAGGGCAAACAACATGGATAAAACAGTGAATCAATGTTGTCATTTCAATCATTAAATGGAAGGAGGGGGGCTGTGAGGAGGGGTGTGCCCCCCCATCAAGAAAAACGAAAAGAAAAAGGCAAACACCAAAGATTCAACGTTGACTCAATGTTGGCATTTCAATCATTGAATTTGCACCACAGATTCAACGTTGATTCAATGTTGGCATTTCAATCAGTGAATTGTGCACTACAATACAACAGTGATTCAATGTTGAACAACCATCAGTCTTCAATAGTAACCAAAAATCAACCTTTTCTATCAAAATTCAACATTGAATAACCATCTTTTACTATCTGGGATGACTTCACTGTGACTTTAGCATGAGTGAACAATATTCTTTTAAGCAGAACAACCATTCTCTTCTCCTTCACTGTCCTCTGAGTGGTGCATTTTAGGTGATCTCTTAAAATAAAAACATGTATGTTACCAGTTTTGTCTTTTCTGTGCAACAGTAGAAACATGGCTATGCAGGATGGCAGCCTCTGTGGGGGAGGACCTGCTCCTATATAAAGATAATAAATACAATAAAGGCTAATTTTAAGTTAACACAAACAGAACTATGTTATAGGAAGAGTAAAACATTAGATATCCTGATCTAATCTCAGAGTTATTGTTAGCCAACCACCATTAGACCCAAAGAGGAAGAACTAACAATAGATAGATTATTATATTAAGATGTGTATACACTAAGTTAAACGCACTGTGAAATAGTTTTTTTTTTAATTTATTTTTTTTTTTTTTACAAAGGCAGGTTGCTACTCATACCTTGAATTTTAGGGTGGGGCCTGGGTCATCAGATGGAATTCAGGAGGCCCATGCCACCCCTGGATGCCCCTCTGGACATGCCCCTGCTAGAGGAACAGCTTAAGTTCACAATGTCCAAAGTGAAGCACAGACAGTGACTCAAAGTAACGTGAAGAAATTGTTTTGCATTTAAAGGTCTATTTTGAGGTTTTATGTAGTATAGCTTCATTCTTTCTCATGGTCAAAGAATTAAAGGAGATAATTCAATTACTCTTTGCTCTCTGAATCATTATTTCAGAGAGTCTGAATTCTAAACCTATTTTTCCTCTGAAACACAATTTTGTTAGTCCAGGGCCTCTTAACACAAAATCCAGGTGAAAGTCCTTTCATATTCCCCAGCCTGGTCTTGGGGTCCACTCAAAATGAGCCATGTAGGAGTCTTCTGTGAGACAGTATAGAGGTGCTAATGACCATTGATCTGCAGTGATTAGCCAACTGTCTTTAGCCATGTGTCCCTGCAGAGACCTTGTCCATGAGGTCAATGCAGCACATAAGAAAAGCAGCAAGGAGATCTGTGCAGTAACATGCATTTGTTTCATAAAGCTTAAAAGAAAATTAAAACTATTTAATTTCACAGCATTATTGAATTACTGCCCTGTTGGACCTCATCAGTCATAAACTGGCATGGGAAAACACAACTTACTTCCTCCTTTCATTTCACAGGAGCTAATCCTCAGTCTGCATATCTACTTGTTATTTTGACTCATCTCTGGGGCGTGAAGCAGTAAGTGATGGTGTGTTTCAATGGAGCAGCCAGTTTGAACATGCTCACCATTGTGCTTGAGAACTTAATACAGCAATTTAGAGCGAGTAAGCCAGGAGGCTTGTTTCCCTCCTGTAAGGACGACCAGCAGCACCAAAATATCTCTGCAATGCCAGGACGGCAACATGCCTGTGGAAGTGTGTTAAGAATAGACCCACAATGGGGCTCGCTCCCGTCTTCTGTTGTCTGAGGACGGGCAGTTGTCTGCAGGACAGAGCGGAAGAGGTCATTTACTCAGACGTTCAGAGACTTTTGCAGACTCAAATGGATCTGAGTGGATTTTTTTCTGCTGAAATGGAGAAAACACTCTTTTATAAAGAGAGTGAGAGAGTGTGAGTGCTGAGAGGACACTGTGTCCACCAACCTGGAGGTTATTGTGCTGCATGAATCTGTTTGGCCTTTCTGTAGGAAGGTCAGAGAAAACGCTGGATTGGGACTCAGGTTCAGGGTGAGCTTGAGGCCTGGAACTAGAAGACTGGAAGATTTTGGAAGGCCTTGAGCACAGTAAGCATGGCTGGATCAAATGCCTCAGAGGTCATCTTTATCTCTGTCAACCACAGCATCACTTTGATGGGTAAGTACCTTTTGTTTGGAGTTACACTTGGACTGAAACATGTTTATGATAGAGTTACTGTGACTGAGTTTTCCTGGAAACATTTCACCTGTTCATGTCATGCATTGTTAACTATAGTTGTCCCCCTGGCATTGAAATGATTTCACCTGGTGTAAACTTGTAAACAGCTGTGTTGTGTTACTGAATTTGGTCCCAATTTGAATTCCTATGTTAAATCAGCACATTTTTTAGACTGTTGTACTTATTTCTAGGAAAAGTTTGGCTCATTGTGATGATCCTTCTCCGTATCGTCGTCCTCCTCTTGGCTGGTTATCCTCTCTACCAAGACGAGCAGGAGAGGTTTGTCTGTAACACCATCCAGCCAGGCTGTGCCAATGTCTGCTATGATCTCTTCTCTCCCATCTCCCTTTTCCGGTTCTGGTTGGTGCAACTCGTCTCCTTGTGTCTTCCCTACATCATCTTCATTATCTATGTGGTCCACAAGGTTTTGAACAGCCTAACTGTGGATCTTGTTCCTGAGGGGCAGCTCAAAGCTTTGCCACTCTTAAAGATCCACCACGAGTCATTCAGAAAGATGTCTGGAAACAAGATGCCTCGGGTGGTAGAGCGAGGGATGATTCAATGTTTCACAGGTGCCTACATTCTCCACCTGATGTTCAGAACAGCGCTGGAAGCAGCTTTTGGGGCGGCTCACTACTACCTGTTTGGTTTTTACATCCCAAGGAGGTTCCTCTGCCAGCACCCACCTTGCACCACCCAGGTGGACTGTTACATCTCAAGACCCACTGAGAAGACAGTGATGCTAAACTTCATGCTTGGAGTAACTGCTCTGTCTCTTTTTCTAAACGGGCTGGATTTTATCTGTGCGGTCAAACACTCAGTAGAACAGAAGAGCAAGAGGAAGATGGTGGTGGAGAAGATTTATGAAGAGGAGCAGTGTTTCCTTTCTGCTGGAGGAACCTCCAGAGGAGTGGACCCAAATGTCTCCTTACCTCAGTCAGATGTGGAGGCAGAGGCTGGCCAGACAGGGAATTTCAGAAAGAGGCAAGGCAGTAAGAGCTCTTTTGTGGGGGAAACGCTTTCTTCAGGGCAGGAACCTTTATCAACAAGTTCTCCTGGACCACTAGGCTGCAATACGAATGGGAATAATGGCTACTCTGTTCCTCAAGGTGAGGCACTGGACAGGGATGACAGTGAGTTGGCTCTTTGCCCTCCAGAGCCTATGGGTACTCCACGATCAATCCGTATCAGCAAACGCAATCGGCTTAAACCACCTCCTCCACCTCGACGGGACCTTGGTTCATCTCATAAAGGATCAAAACCTCCAACAGGGGATGTAACCATAACAACCTGTACCAGAAGAGTTGGTCAGTACTCACTGGTTGAACTGGGGAGCAGCCCAGAAATACAGACCAATGAAGACATGCAGGAAAAGAGGTCAGAGTGGGTATGACCAGAGGAACTGGTTCATTTATCACCAGGTCAGTTTGGATCACAAGGATGCGGACGTAAAGGTGTGGGAGATATAACTCATGGTTTACTCAGCATTTATATGGTGCTGGAACAAACTAGAAATTATTACCTCAATTCCATAAAATTTGGAACCCTGTGTAAAGTGTTTGTGAAAACAGGTTTTGACAGTATGCAAACCAAAGACAAATCAGACATTAAAACTGAAAATGTTTTTGTTCGATAAAAAATGTTTTCTCATTTGGAATTGGATGCATGCAACAAGTTTCAGAAAGTGTGGACAGTAAGGTGTTTTTTATTGTGTGTCCTCTGCTCTTCTTTCACCAACTCTCTGTAAACCTTAGTGAACCCAGCAGACCATCTCTGGAGTCTTGAAATCAAATGTTGCCCCATTCTCTCCTGATAGAGGATTTTAGCTGCTCAACAGTTCAGGGTCTCCTTGGTCCTGTTTTTGGTGTCATGATGCTCCAAATGTTTTCAATGGGGGACAAGTCAGGACTGCAGGTACAGTAGTTTCTCAGCAGCAGGACTCTTCTCCTACAGAGCCATGCTGTTGAAATTCCTGTTGTCAGAATGTGGTTTGTCGGTGTCTCTCTGAAATATGAAGGTCTTCCCAGAAAAAATCTTTGTCTGGATGTCAGCAGATGTTGCTCCTAAACCTGTAGATATTGTTCAGCGTTAATGGAGCCTTTACAGAGGTGGAAGATACCCATGACATGGACACTGATGATCCCCATACCATCAGGGATGCCAAAGGGACTATCACATTTTAACTGATCAGACCAAAGGATAGTTTCCCTCTTCCCATCAGTCTACCTACAGAAGTCTCTGGTGTTTCTGGATCCTGTTTGTCTCTTTGCATAGTTCAGTTAAAACCTCATCTGTGGATGCAGTGATGGATCGTGTTCACTGACAATGTTTTTTTAAAGGGATTTTGAGCCCATGCAGTGATAATCCAGAGTCCTGTCTTTTTTAAATTAAGTGTTGCCTGAGGGCCTGAAGATCAGGACCATCGAGTCGTGGTTTTGGTCCTTAACCCTTTAGTACAGAGATTTCTCCAGATCCTCTGAATCTTTGAATGATATTGTGAACTGTAGATGATGAAATCCACTCATACTTTCACATTTGACACTCAGGAACATTATTCTGAAACTGTTGAACTATTAGCTCACACAGTCTCTCACAGAGTGGTGAACCTCTTCCCATCTTTCCTTCTGAGAGATTCAGCCTCTCTGAATGTCCTCTTTATACCCAATCATGTGACTAACCTGTTGGAAATTGACCTCATTAGTTGGAGACATTGGACTAGATCAGAATTTGTCTTGAAGGTTAAAAGTTTTTACAGAAATCCATGCATTGTAATTTAAATTAAAGCTCCTGTATTTCATTGGGTTTAGTATTAGTGTGGTTGTGAAAGCTCAGTGACTGCAGATCCCTAGGTCTCCTGTGCTTATTCAGGATCAATAAAGTATTTTTTAACTGCCTATCTCGCCACATAGACACATCCTGATTTAAAGCTGGAAAATAGAATGTGATGACTTATAGCTGGCTCCAAAGCTCAGGCAGTGGGACTATTGGAGAAGCATTTGACTTCAGCATTACAAAAAAAATCCTGTTCTCTTCTTCTTCTTAGACTTGTGATGGAACAAAATCTGCTCCGATCCTATTACACAATCAGATCCTGCTGCCTTTGAGGAGCGCTGTCTGAGTGATCCAAAGAGACAAGAATTCAAGTCATGAATACAAAAGTCATGCAGCCAACAACCTCAACCTTGAGAAATTCTAAAAGAGTGCAGTCCACCTGTTTTCTCTTGTTGGTTTTACCCCCTCCTCCCTTGACACACTGTCCATAAACAATGACAAGCCTTGACCTGTCCCATGCCTCTTACCTCTCAACGTGACACCACCATGGAGCCCTTCTCTTCTGTGTCAGGGTCAATCAATCAATCAATCAATCAATCAATCAAACAATCAATCAATCAATCAATGCTGTACATTAAAGAACACAAGAAGGAGAGGATCAGGGGATACAAAATAAAACACAAAATAAAATACAAGTTGCAAAACCCCACCCACACACCCACCCTCCAAGCCCGCATTCAACAAAGACCCCACCACCCACCCACCCACCCACCCACCCACACACACACACACACACACACACACACACACACACACACACACACACACACACACACACACACACAGCCACAGGGTCACAGGGGTCAGAGATCACGACTAGCCTCTAGGCCTTGTACCTGCATGTTTTAGCGACCTCTTAAATCCAGAGATAAGGTCAACATGAGAAGCAGAAATCTGGTAAAGAAGGAGCTTTCATGATCCCAGAGTAGAACAGGCTCTCTCCTCCAGAAGTAAAGGACACTATGAGGGCTGACAAAAGCTTACAAAGCAATTATGTTCCCCCATAGGAGCTCTGTATTTATGGAGACAGCTTGTCACTCTATTTCAGGGCCTTGTGGAGCTTAAGAGCAACACAAGCCCTAACAAACAGCAAGACTGGAAATAGAGTGGATGAGAATTCTGCCTGCTGCCCTTCAATATATCTGCTGTGTGCATGCTGTGGCTTTGGTTTCACCTTGATCAAAGCTGAAATCAATGTCTGTCAGAGAGAGAATATTCATAGGGAATGTGCTGTATCGCTGAATTAACTCATTCTGTTTTCTTCAAATCTTCCTACTATGTTAGACTGATAATGGTGCGAAGCCTCCTGCATGAAGTCATCATCATCCCAGCTGTACCTGCCTCTCTGCAGCTGAGGGGCAGCTCTCTGTGTAAACTGATAGCTCTTGATCTCCCTCCTCTTGGGGTCCCTTTGAAGATGACAACAAAAGCCCCCGGCTTCATATCTCACCTATCTGTTCACCTACAATATCTACCTGGGTTGACCACAGGTGGGCTCTTCAGACCACAGCAGGTCTCATGGTGCTGCACCTCCTTTGTTTACCCAGTGTTAAGTCAGAAAGCCAAAGATAGATCCAGTTACTCTCCTATTTGTTTGTATTTCACAAGTTTTGCACCTCTATGAAAGAATACATGATTCAGCTATTAGGATGATGCATGCAAAATTTTTCTGCATAATTTCAGGAATGTCTGATTATTTGCAGGTCATTGAAAACAGACGCTACTTTGCAGCCTTCATTTGACATTTTATACAATCAGAGTTAAACCAGATTAAACTTCTGCATTGAATCCAAGCCTGCAAAAACATGTAGCATAAACCATGAGTTCAAATGGTCTTGTTGCTTTGCAGAAACCTGCATACTCAGTCAAACGTCCACCTCCTCAAAAGATCCAGATCCTCAAAAATGCTCCTATGCATCGAAGCAGTGCAGACTACAAGCCTTGAGGTTGATCCAATGGAAAGCACTGTATGTAAGCATATGTGTGTGCAAAATATACCCCAATCATCTGCCTTCATGGATTCAGACCCCATAAATTCTGATCCCTGTCTCCTCATCTTTTCTTCCTCAAAAACTGCAGCATGACTGACTACCGATCAGCATATATCAGCTCTGTCTCCAACATAACTCACTCCGATTCAGACATGATAGTTTCTGTTGCACAAAAAAGCAAAGAATAAACACAGATTTTAACAGGGGATACAACCAGCTGGGTTCAAAGTTATCTATCTGAACCACCAAACAAAATGGAGAAATCAGCCAGGATGATAAATTGGTCTTTTACATTATGCACTTTTGTTTCCGGTACATTATATGAAGGTAATGACATATCGAATACAAACCAAACGAGTAGGCTGGAGACAAATATAAGGCCACATTACTCATTCTGATCAGCTGTTAATCAACTGACGCCTAAGGAAAATTCATTTGGTCTTGATCTTGAATAAAGTGGTTACAGTTGGGCAGTAATAGTCATTGTAAGCAGCATCTGATTACATGGCTATTTTGGCACAAACATGCACCGGTCACGTGGTGCACAGCTCTGTAAAATTTACAGGCCAATTGTAAATCTACCCAAATTTGGCATTGTTGGTTGTTAATTTCTTACCCTGGATCAGCACAGACATAACTCTGCCCACCAGCATCTTGGCAGAGTATTGTAGAGTTACCTGGAGAGTCTGGTGCACAAGTACATGATCAGGTGTTTGCCACTGTGTCAACCTTGCAAAGCAGACGGATAGACCAGATTTCACATCTGTCATCAGGTGGATCCATCTGCAAAACTTCAGGTTGACACTCAAGTCAGAGAACAACTTGTTGTGGTCATTTGAAGAGGAAGAAGTGTTATAGCTATTGATGTTTTAAGTTGTTGTGACTGGAAGCATGCAGTCAGTAGCAGCATTTGATGCAGCTACAGCAGCAATTTTAGCAAAACGGGTGAAATCTGCTCACATCAGAGGTACATGGATAAAACTCAGGAGAGATTGCAGTTGATGAGGTTTCAGAGGATTGTCTTTAGATCGCTGTATAGCTGGAGCTAACCTCGAGCACAGAGGAGTGTTGCTTGTTGAGCTCACATCATGTAGTTCACTTCTCACCAGCACATGCCTTCAGCATCATGTTTTGTTGCTATGAGCCGCCAGATGGATGGGAAATATATCTCATGGCATAGATACAGAAGTAAATTTAAGCACCTGTCAATCTGGTGTGAAGAGTCAACACTCAAGTATTAAGCTGAGGCAAAAAAATGAATTCAGTTTTTAAAAATACACATCTCTGCAGGTGAGAATGAAATAGATGTGTTTTTGGTTTCACACTGGACTCAAACTCTTGTCTCCTGGGGAAAATAGTTATGTTGTCTGACACTAACATGACCTCAGAAGCACCTGCTCTCCTTCATGCAGAATCATTGAGCAGTTACTGACAGTTATGACTGAACACAGTTTTTATTTCTGTGCATTATTTTTGGCAGATGTTTGTACAAACAGTGAATGAGCGCGGTCTGATCAGTCTGACTTTTCAGCTGTAAATATTACACTTACACAGATTTTTTTTACTCAGTCTTAAGAGACTGAGCTCACCTTTTGTATCATTTTTATTATTGTGATTTATATTTGTAAAGACCATTTCTGACCTAATCTTGTCACACGTTTTATTCCAGTTAAATGTGTTTGTCATACTCTCTACATGAAGAGCAGTTTCTTTATAAAGTGATTTTAATGGTTTCTGTTTATTTGTGTTAAACAGGTACATTATTATGATTATTTTTCATGTAACTTTCTGAAGCACTTTATGTGTTTTAATGTTCCTTTTTAGGTACAGTTCATCATTCGGTCATGTCTGTAGCTTTGAACTCTTGCTGCCCTATGCTGACACTAAAATGTGATGTTTAAATTACCATCCATTCATGGTTTAGATATGAAAATGTGCTTTTACATGATTTGGTTTGCTCATCTCCCTCCCTGCACCCCCACATCTATGGGTGAAAAGCGTCACTGAAAGGAATGAAAGACATCATCTGGTTAATAGCTTCATCTAGTGGTCAGAATTTAGAGTTGCAACGAATACAGTTTAATTTCTGAGCCTGAGAAGAAACAGACCATAGACTGTATAGAATGGATGCCGTCTGCCTCTTTGCTGGGTGAAGCCACTCTGAGAACAGCACCCTCTGTTGATGGGCTGCAGTATAGGTCATAAATCCCGCCTTCCACAAACCTGAGCTCTCTCAGCAGTTATCATCACAGTTGCATACTTTCTGAAAACCTTCGCATTTAAGTTGACTCTACTTGTACTCCTCACTCACTTCAGGAGAACTTTTTTTCTTGAGCCAAAAACACTTGTAAACACCCGTTTTACCATTTGAGATGAGATTCAATTTATTGTCAATGAACAGTACAAGTACAGTACAGCAAAAAGTGTTTTCGCATCTCACCAGAGTGCAAAGTAAACATGTCAGTGCTAGTGATACATTATTTCATAGGTAAGGAAGTAGTGGAAATTTAATAATTATGTGTATTAAATCAATAAATAAATAAAAATACCTCTTAATTGAACTCTTAAGCTGTTTACCTTGTGGTCACAAGCCAGCTGGTGAGGGGAAAAGATGCAACATAAAACCCTGGTTCCGTGATGTAAAAATTATTTATTGGGAAAAGAAAGAATAAAGTGCTGTTTAACAAAATTTAGGCAAGGAACAGAGAGATGTGGAGTGCTGCTTAAAGAAACAAAACACAATGTGGCCGTGTGGGAGAAGGGCCAATTTCAGACTTATGCTAAAGTCATCCAACAACACCACCGAGGGACTGACCCAAGGATTTTACCCAGTTTCAACCATTCATTAAGAAAAATGCCAACATAGGTTTTGAAAGTCTGTGAGACAGAGACGTGGTTCAAAGCAAATCAAAAAAATTATAATATTAAAATATAAAAATGCTTGGACCTGGAAGTGTCTGCTGACAGACAAAGGGAGTTAGTGGTGAATTGGTAATAAAAGTTTGAGTCTGTTACTGAATAAGTTGATTGGGAAAGTTTATTACAAGCGATTCTTTTAACAATCAATCAATAAAACACTTCCAGGTAGTTAAAAATAACAAAAAGGAAAACTAACAGGGAGTGGGAGCTAGCAAGAGGGAGGCAGTCTACCAATAGAAGTGTCCCAGGAGAGCATTTACCCACCACATGTGAACTCAATGCAAACTGGTGTAGACTTTGGTGCCCCAGTGCGCCTACCACTGCAACAAAAAGGTGTGGGGTGGGGAACCACCCAACGTGCCTAACCTCCACTACTAGCCAGCCACCACTGCACTGTGGGGGATGAGAAAGAAAAAGTTATACAAAACAAATGATAAAAACTATGAAAAAACCCAGTTGGTTCTGCTAAAATGTCTCTTCAATCACAATCACTAAAATGCTTACAAAACAAAACAGACAAAAAACAAAAACAGCAGCTGATTGGGCCTGCAAACTGGAGACAGAAATTATTGCACTGTTAAGAAATATCATAATCATGAGATTTCTTGGAGACTGTCTGTTAATAAAGTTTTAGAAAATATACTGTTTAGGTACATTTATCTAAGTTTCCTGTACCGGTGGTCGCCGACAGTCAGGTAAAAGTGCAAACTGCAATCAAACAATCTCAAAGAACACACACAATTCAGCCTCTGATAAAAAGGACTTAAAATAAATGTTCAAATAAAATGAACCAGGCCTCATTACCTCTGTCAGACCATGTGGCAGCGAGCAATCAGACAAAGAAAAGGGCAGCCACAGGTGTCTTAAATAGGAGGGTAGGGAAAAGGGGGAGGAGTTGACCTAGTTTTGGAAGTGCTGCACAGCATACAGCCTCTGAATCCTACCCGCTACAACAACAAAAAGCAACTCTAAACTCTCAACTCTAGAGTGGAAAAATGACACTTTCTGAAATTAGCTCAAAACAAAAGTTAAAACAAAGCGAGAGGTGAGAAGTTCCCTATCCCTTACAATTCCCCCCAAAAGTTATGCAATTAAATTGCCACGACACACGAATGCCAACACAGATTTATTGACTAAGAATCTGGTGAAGTGTGTCTGTCCCCAAGGCGCTCCAATCAGCAGCCCCTTGAATCTGCCACTCCTCCCAAATTGGTCCGGCGGACTCAGACCCTTCACCAATCAGCAGCTGGCGGCCGCAGTATCAGCATCCTCTTACAGTCACACAACGCTGCGGCCGTAACACTTTGTAACAGTGTTATAAGTGCAAAGAAACAGCATCAATATTGTGCCGCAGATATCAACGAATCAACAGTATGTTCTCAATTGTGAAATCTTCAGTTAATCCAATTTTCCATTAAGATATATGAACCAAATGCAGTAGTTTTGATGTGCAGGGCAAATAATCTTTACTAGAGAGCAATGAAACTTGTCGACTTAATTTTTCATCACACAACAGAGACAGACACAGATCAGAGAGGACAGTGTCTTCATAAAAGAAACATAGGACTTTGCAATTACTGTGTTGATAAATTCAGCAAGGAACTCACACACCAATGTGAATTAATTCAGACCTGAGTCATCATCCAGTTCTGCTTTGGTTCATGCCCTTTTGGCCGGGCCATCATCACTGTTATCCTCTCAATACTCAAATTTTCCTCAATTATCCAACTGTGTAGAGGTTTGTGGATTAGTTCAGCTTGAGTCAGTTTGCTCTGACTCTCTGGTTAAAACAAATGGACAATTTTCATTTACATTGGATCATTAAAACTGTGTACAAGATTTCTTTACTCTGTTTCCGTACATTTGTCCCATTTCTGATGTTTTTGAGTGTTAGAGTGATTTCAGGGGTTAGTCTAATCAGGAAACAATCGTGTTTACATTATATGTCTGATAAGCTGATATACAATGAACACACAGGGCTCTATTTTGTGCCCGCCGGCAGCGCAGCAGAGGGTGGCACACCTCGTGCAGTGGTATTTTCGTATAGCGGAGCCCAGCGCACAGCCAGTTTGGTATTTTCGTAGACTGAGGCGCACTGAGGTCTGTCTGCCGGTAGGGGGAGGTGTCAGAATCAGCTGGCGCAGTGACATTTTTGTGCTCACCAGTGGCGTGGAAAGTGCGTTGAAAGCTCACCAGTTCAAACCTGGTCAGCTTTCAGCGCGCATATGTCACCGATGCCTCACTGGCAGGTTTCCACAGTGTCAGGCACATTTCAGTGCAAATAATAATCAACAACAAACAATATTCAGTGCAACAATCTAAATTTAGATCTATATCGATATATTCTGATCTATATCTTATCTGATGAGTGGGTTTGGACACTCAACCTGACCGAATTAACATAACTGAAACTGCATTAAATTAAATATCCAGTAGATAGTCACACATGATGGAGTTAAAGATATTTAATTCTTCCTCTGCCCCTTTTCTCTCTCAATAAGTAATTGGATAAATACCTTTCAAACTTAAAGTTTGAACCTTTGGTCCTACCACCCCCTCTCCTCTCCTTTCCCATCCTTTCCTCTTCTCTCTCCTTCACTTGGTCTACCTTTTCTCTCTCTGCAGAAAAAAATTAGGAGGAATGAAAGTTCAGGTAAACAATAGATACAAAGATGAACCACCATGTATGTGATTCAGTGGAAATAAGAAATAGTAAACATGTACCTTTTTTCTGTGAGATTTAAAAATCTTTGGCCCTCCCACCACCTCTCCTCTTTCAGGGTTTTTCCTGGCTCAAATTGAGGCAGAGGTGGCACCATCCTGAACATGCGCCATGACGTGCATGTATTTGTAAATTCAACTGACTCACTTTCTTTTACAGGCAACATACTTTAAGTTAAGAGTTCAAAAAAGAGTGTGACCATTATCATGTTAAAGCATTCATTTATTAAAACTATATACATACACAAATCAGCTGGCAACTTTAAATTGAAAGTACACTTCATCCACACATCTCACAACCAGACAGAACATTTCAGCCTAGTGCTGGGCGATATGGAAAAAAATGTATATCACGATATGGATCATTTTATATCACGATAACGATATATATCACGATATAGCTATGGTATGCTTTCAGTTCTATGAAAAATTTAAGTGTATACAGCTGCACTAGTACAGTACCAGTACAAGACCAGCACTTAAAACTAGAAAAATGAATAAACAAATACGTGGCTGAAGTGCGTTCATGTCTGTGCTCACCCAAAGTTATGTAACACTTACAGAAAACGCTGATAGTGTGAGCCGAAGCACTCCATAATAATAATAATAATAACAATAATAATAAATTTAATTTGTAGTGCACTTTACATTTACAAAAAAATCTCAAAGTGCTACAGTACACAGTCAAAAAAGAGCAGCAACAATAAAAAAAAGCAATAGAATGACAGTCACAGATTAGCATAAAAAAGAATTTAAAAAAAATAAAATATATAGAGTTGCAATGTAAGAGGCAAGGTAGTAAAAGCATAAAGCATAGAGGAAAACTAACCAAAGGCTTTATTAAAAAGGTAGGTCTTTAGGGCTCTTTTGAAGAGGTTGTTCACACTGCTAGATGTTTCTCCTCCAAAGCTGCTCTCTGCCTCCATCATTGTTTACTTTACTCTTGAAGCACGTAGCAAGACCCGAGCATGAATCCGAGCGCTTTATTCGCCTATCAGGGGCAGACAGGTAAGGTGATTTGATTCGCCACGACTCCAGAAATGATTGAAAAACTACAGAATGTCACAAAATTACGTTTCCTCGCTGCTGGCTTGAAGGGTACAAATGCGCAGCCGCGCTCCCAGCTGACAGGAAGTCAAACCACTGTTGTAGTTCTTTTGTGTTGCTAGCGCGGTCAAGAGTGTTTACTCTCACTGAGAGATGACTACAAAAATGGACGCACCTGTTCATCTGGTTGTTAAACACGGCTGAAAAAGATCATCTTTTCATGTTGTTCCCGCTCCTGCCCACTCCCGTTGCTTTTTTTCCCGTCCCGTCCCGATCAAGAGATTAATAAAAAAAATGACTCCCATCCCGCGGGAATCACGTGACCCACGGGAATTCCCGAAAAAAGTCATCCTCCACAGGGAAGGTCCCGGAGCAGATGAAACAGGTGCCGGAGCGGCTGAAATAGGTCCCAGATCCGATCAAAAGAGGTCCCGGATCGCGCTCCGACTTGCTCCGGCACAAATTAAGCACTGCTTACAATGATCCCCTCACGTGTGTAACCCAGGTAACCCGCAACGGCGGGAGGCGCTGGACATAAAGAGGGCACGTAAAGCGGCGTCATGTCGCAAAATCGAAAGAGAAATGCAAGCCTACATGTCAACGCATCCTTTTCTTTGTAAGAAAATATTGTTTTCTTTCCCGTTCGACACCAAATACACTTACTGAATGTGCAATTATTGTTGTTGTTACTATGAATCATCTGATGGCACAAGCTCTATGGATTAAATACAACCTATCGCCCGAAACGATAAGAATAAAAATGGCACGATAGACATTTTCTATCGTGCCAACGATATATATCGTCCAATCGCCCAGCACTATTTCAGCCTCCTCTTTTTCATTCTGTAGAACCTCCTCATGCACTCCTTGTAGTCCAAGGACTCCTGGTCTGGTCCATCAACGGCCACCTTACAACAGACATCCAAGTGCCTCTCCTTCAGTCTGTTCCGCAGAGGTGTCTTCACCTTAAACAAAACAATTCATCATGCATTAAGTATTTTTGTTTTTATTCTGATACAGACATGAAGAGTGATAGCGTTTTCAATCATATATTATATATATGTGTACGTTGCAGTGTCCTCCCTAAAAAAACGACAACCAATTATTTCTTAAACTATCTAAACTATGTTATTTTATTTTTTGTAACTTTATTAGTTGAGTGTTTTTAGGTACTACCATCTTTAATATATTTCTCCTTCTCTTCTGCTGCTTTGTGAATGGCTGTCACCTCATGTCTTTTTAATGTGTCCAGCCTGTAGTTGGTTGATGGCTGTCTCACTAAGGAGGCAGCAATTGCCTGCTGTGTTGGGGCACAGTGCTTTTGGCATAAATAGCAGTGCATGCCTTCCTCAGTATGCCTGAGCCAGGTAAATTGATTGAGCCACTGCTTGTCAAAGCCACTGGCTCTGTGTTTTTGAGAAGATCTAGACAGAGGAATAAAAACCACGTACACGTTGGTTTTGCGTTGTTATGCTCCTAATTGGAAACTAATTAATTAATTACCCTCGCCTCGCCGACTCGTCCTGTCCTGCATTCTGACCCTCGCGATCACCAGTCCCTTGTTAAGTACTTTCAGACCTGACACAAATGTCCACGTTGTCCCCACCATGAGTTATAACATTTTAACTGCCTGTTACGTTTTTTCTCTGCTTTGTTTCACCTGGACTCTTGACTTTCCTCCTCGCGAGGTCGCTTTTTAAAGGCTGATTTTGCCTGTCATATCTGCAACGCTAAAAAAACGGAGGAAACTTTTTTTTTAATAAACACGTCATGCTTGGATGCAAAAAAGACAAGCAGTATTTACCTGTTTGTACCAGCCGCCGGGGAAAATCAGGTCGCCGATAGCACCAACTAGCGGGAAAAAAACTTGAAAAAACATGATTCGATCCGTTTCTTCTTCGGTAGATAGATGCTTCAGGTCTTTCCGGTGCACTGCTGTTGATATAGCGCCTCTATAGTGGCGCAACGCTGCAACTGCAGTTAAAATACGTTGCTGCTGCAGAGGGACATCATACACTCAATCAACACAGCTGGAGCTTTACGCTGTGTTGAGCGAAATCAATCGCTCTGGCTGGGGGCGGCACAAAATTAGGTGGAGGCGGCCGCCACGCAATTTTGAACGCAGGAAAAACCCTGTCTTTCCTCCTCTCCTCTCCTTTTTTCTCCTCTCCTCTTCTCTCTTTTTTGTCTCTGTCAGTAAAATTAAAGCAAAGAAAGTTTAAGTGCCAGAAAAAACTACACATGATAGGAATGATAGAGGTTTGCATCAACTAAACTATGATAAAGTAAACAAGTATTACATTGACAGTTGAAACCTTTGGCCCTCCCGCCTCCTCTCCTTCACCTCCTCCTCTCTTCTACTCTTTGCTTTGTCCTTCCCTGAAAAAAAAAACATAAAAAACAAATGTTTAATCTTAAAAAATAATAATAATTTAACAAAAGCTTTATAATGTGCAGTATTTAAAAAACGTTCTGTTATATCAGGTCAGTCTGTTCTTCTTTAATGGAATGTTTTTACTTATCCACATACAGCTCCTCATTAAACTCATGCAACAACTCCTTCACATTTACTTTTTCAGCACTTACCTGGAGACTTCCCTGTAGGCTCAGCTGCTCCCTTTTTTTCTAGTTCTCAAACCTCCTCTCCCTGTCCTCAAGAGTTCAGTTCATAAATCTATCAATGAGTCCAGAAAAGAACAGGAGGCAAAGTTATCATGAAGAAAGTCAGACACCAGAGGGAGGATTGTTATGATTGCATTAATAGTGTTGATAAAAATAAGTTAATAGATAAATACCTTTCAAATTTAAAGTTTGAACCTTTTTCCCTCCCACCTCCTCTCCTCTGCTTTCCTCTCCTCTCTTTTCTGTCTCTGTCAGTAAAATTAAATCAAAGAAAGTATAAGCACTAGGAAGAAATTACATTTGATGGAAATGATAGAGGTTTGCATCAACTAAACTATGATAAAGTAAACGAGTATTAATAAATACCTTTTACAGTGACAGTTGAAACTATTGGCCCTCCTGCCTCTTCTCCTATCCTTTCCCTTGCTATCCTTTCCTCTCCTCTCTCCTTCGCGTGGTCTTCCTTTTCTCTCTCTGCAGGAAAAATTAGAAAAACGGAAAGCTCAGGGAAACAAAACATACAAAGATGAACCACCATTAATGTGATTCTGTCAGCACTCTGTCAGGCCTCTACCCTAAGACCTGTTAAACTTGGGTGTCCCACCTGAAGACTAAAGCTCCTGCTGGTATAGCTCTTAGGGTCGCTGAGGCACACAAACCCCCTGACTACAATAGGGTGGCAATCCCTCAAGGGGAAAATTGAAAAATAAAAAAGCTAAATAAAAAAAAAAAATCTTTCATCCAGATTTTAACAACTAACAACATTACATTTATCTTAACTGGATGGCCTGATTCTCAAATAGGGGAGACCGGGGCTTGTTGTCACACAAGTAAGTTGTCACATTGCAATTATCTTTGCCACCAGAGGGCAAAAATAAAAAGTGGAATACTAGTTTTCTTCCTTTACATGGTCAGGGGTTGTGTCTTGTCTGAGAAGAAAAGGGCGCATTGTGAGCTGAGATGAGCACCAATAAACCATTTCACACAACCCAAAGTAAAAAAAAATAACTTAATATATTTTAAAATAAGCTTCATCCAGATAAAAATCCTAGCAGTGATACATGTGGACTTGTTAGAGGAGAGATTAACACGTCCTGTCATACCTCAGTCATTGTTTTGTTTTAAGCTAACTTTAATCAAGAGCTAGAATTAGCAAACATGGTAGTTAGGGGCAGCATGTCTCAGTCATTTTGGGGTTAGTTGTCACGTGTTTAAAAGGGATTAAAATTAAAATAGAGTCTGCTTATCAGCAGTTGTCATACAGAAACTTTGACTTGATTTTTAAAGAGAACAGGGTTTAAAGGAGAGGAGAAAGCGAGAAACCATGGTCAGGAATTACAAAAGAAAAACAGAGCAAAGCAGTGCAGTACCTGACGTGATGCTGAGGGCAGTCAGACAGGTGACCCTAGCTAATGAATCAATCTGGACTACAATAAAGGACTCTACTGTCAACTACCATACCTTAGCTCTGTACTGCAAAACATTCACCCCAGCCGAAATACAGTCAGACAGATCTTCAAACTCCAGAGCATGTTGATAGTATCTTATGTTAACGTTTCTTCAATTACTTTTTCTTGCTCAATGATAAACATTTTCTGTGCCTGACTTTGATGTTTACTTTCATGTAAAAAAATGAGAACAATAATTTTGTTCTTGTTTTATTAGCTGCAAATCCACTGTGCCATCTCACTCATGTAGTGAGACAACTTACCCGATGGTGGGGCAACATGTCACATGTTCACACTATTTGATTGATCATAAATCTGCACTGACACAAGATATGAAAATGACATGAATACAAAATATATACCTGAGACTTTGGTATTTCATCTGGTACACATTTTGTTTATATATGATGTATTGATTGCCAGAAATATACAAGAGTGTAAAAAGTGTGACAACAAGCCCCGGTCTCCCCTACATTTCAACCGAAAGGAAAGACTTGTCACTATAATCAATATTTACAAAACTGAACGGTAGTCATATGAAAAGAAATCACCAAGCATCACAAGTTCTCAAACTAATTTGTAAAACACAACAGATAAAGGGCAGAACATTTTATAACTTTGTTCTTTATTAGCTAATAACTCAAAAATGTCTCTTCTCTCCACCTCACCATTCTCTCGCCACTCTCCAATCTCTCCCCTGTACACCAACACCAAGCATTTTCTCAGTTATAAAACTAATTTGTCGAACACAACAGATTCAGAGCAGATATAGGCTATAACACACATAACATTTTTTTTCTTCTCTTTTAGGTTTTATTTATTTATTTGTTCGCAACTTAATAACTAAAATCTCCTACTTTATCTCCACCTTACCATTTTTTCTCTCCATCCCACTTTTCTTTCTCTCCGCTCTGCAGTTCCACTATTCTACTCTGTGCTTGTGACTTGAGAAACGCATCTACTGGTTAAAAAACAGCAGACTATTTCCCAGTTGACTGCACAAATATGTATAGATGTCATATTAACGTTTGTTTTAGATGTTGCTAATTATTACTAATAATTAGTTATCTCACAGGTCGCTACGACGAGTTTGGTGGAGTTTTGCTGCTTCCTCAAACTCTCCCGCTCTGTCTTGAAACCTGACACTGCAGTCTCAGGCTGCAGCGCATCTAGGCTCATTTGCATACTGAACAGTGATTGGATGTTTACGGATGGGGAGGCGATCTCTGACTGCAGGGTGTGTGAAGACCAGAGCAGTAGATTAAAACAGAGTGGCGACAATCCCATAGACATACGCTGTACAGCCCGGCGGACCCCACTTCGGGTTAGGAACTCGTAATAGTTCCATCATGACCGCCTGTCACGTCGGACGCCGTTCGCTTCTATGGCCACAAGGCAAGCGCTCACCGAGGTTAAATGATAAAATATCAACAAGTTTAATGCCAATACATGTGTTATTGATATCGAGGGGACTCCTTTATATGTAAAAATGTATATCCCAAATGTAATTACGTTATTTTAGTCAGGAATTGGGATCGATTTTTTAGCCACGGTTTGCTCCCACACTCCCTGAGGTAAAATATTGTATCAACGAATGTAATGCCAATACGTGTGTAAATGGTATCGAGGGACCCCTTTATATGTAAAATGATTTTAATTTTAGTATGCTCAAATTGTAATTACAAATGTAATTACGTTTTTTTAGTAAGGAATTGGGATCGATTTTTTAGCCACGGCCTGCTAGCTGGACGTCGTCAGCTGTAGAGGCCTGCCAAAATTTATTGTGTGACTGAGTTATGAATCACAGATAAATCATCATCAATCATATGTTGAGATGGTTACTTATGGGCTTTATTTTAGATTTCAGCCTTTATCAGTTCCCGATGTTATATGCAGTTTATTCGTTTTAGACTGACATAAGTGCTATGTAATTTGATTTCTGCTTATGGGATGATAGAGTTAAGGGGCCGCTACTTTTTAAATCCTGTCAGCATTTAAGGCGTATGTTTAACATGGCAAAATGTTATGCAGGCCATGCTGCAAGACCAAAACATTGCACAATTGTTTAAACAGCTTGTTACACCTGTTACTTACCACTTTATTGTATTATTTTCTCTTATTAAAAAGTAACACCTGTTCCCAAACTTGTCTTATTTCACTTTTATTTGTCATCCAGCCGCTAAATATACGTACGTGACTTTGACGTGTACACAGTAATCCAATAAGAGTTGCAAATGTTGACTTTTTACGGTTAATTTTAATATTTACCTCTTAAATGCGCGCTCACTGCAGTCTGCCCCGTTGAAGAGCATGGACAGTGCAGGCTGTGTTTGGAACTATGGAGGGGTACCTGAACCATGTGACCGCTCCGGCGGCGAGATCTGAAGTTGTCGCCACTCTGTTTTAATCTACTGCTCTGATGAAGACCCACGCTGCGCGGAGAGGAAGGGATGAGAGATGAGCGGGGGCTGATTATTAACTTGTGCCTTTTCGGCGGATTTTCCATTATTAAAATTTTGATTTGAGGGGCCAGGCCATTTGTTCTTGCCCCAGCGTAGAGCCGGCCCCGGAATATAAGCAACTTGATGTGAGTGTCTTTATTTGTGGAAAAGGGTGTTTGTCTTACCAGTGGGTCCAACCTTACACACACTAAATCCCTCTGTGCTTATTTCAGAGTGTCCTCTTCACGCAGCGCTTACAGCGACACTTGTTGAGGGGCTGCCTTCTGTCGCCATCGTGTGGCGACGCTGTCTTCAGCCATCTCTTGATCTCTTCGCCTTAGTTGTCCATAGTATACAGTCTGATACAGACAGACTTTCCTTTCAGGAATCTGGATAACCTAAAGCTTCTATAAGGGATTTTTTGTTTGGGATACCTCTCGGACCTGAATCTTTCTTATCTTTTACATGAGTAAAGTTGGTAACAGTTTACTTGGCCCCTATCTCTATAACCCATCTTAAATTTATCTATAATGTGTCATAATCACGTTAAAGCTCTGTATAACTATTGTTATAAACACTCATAAATGATCATAATGCTTTATAGCAATAATCATATATAAAGCATTTTATCATGACTTACAAGGTTAGGTATTATAATGTGTTATAACTGTTAACAATTCACTGACATTGCCCACATAAATAATGCATTATACATACATTTATAGTATATGTATGTGTTGTAGAGATAGGTGTCAAGTAATGATGTTATAATAATGTAATAATTCCACTTTATTTGTAAACATTTAAAAACTCTTCACAGAAACTTACAGCACCAATAAAGTTAAATAAGTTTCATATAATGTCCTACCGTGTTTTTTTTTTCAGTCTGACTAAATACAATTCAATATCTTGACTGTGGCTCATTGACATCTAATAAAAAAGAAACTTAAGTGCATTTGGTTTTGTGGAATCAGATAACTATATTCATATGTAGATCTGTCATTGACATCTAAAGTAATGCACATTGCACATGCAAACACAATAGAGAACATAAAACACAAAATGTCTGGTGCAATTATCAGTACACTTTATTTCATGTTGCATAAAGGACCCAGTGTGCATAAATTCATTCATTAAAATATGGCTGAAATACTAAGTGCTTGAACAACTACAAACCCTTAAAAAGTGACATCATTGATGCTACAGGAAGATGTTTTTGTAAATCAGTGCATCGCCCTTATCTTCAGCTCATTTGTTGTTTGATGGCCTTGCCAGTTGTGACTAAAAACAGAGTAATCTTCAAAAAAAAAAAAGAAAGAAAGAAAGAGAGAAAAACAGCACTCAGTGCTGCAGATGATAGAGGTTTCCTTTTTGTAAAGATGTCAGTCCGTCAATGACAGACTGAAGGAACACGGTGTTCAGCTGCTGTTGGTTTGTGTGTGAGGAGGTGAAGGTGGAGGTGGAGATATTTGGGGGGTCATTTTAAAGACTACTAAACTACAGTGGCATTGTTCCTTTGCCAACAGGGGGCATCTTTTTTTAGTCCAAAGTGAGTGTTTTCTTGATTTAGAAACTCAGTTTGTTTCTCTCTATATCTTCCTGAATCCGTCTTTGTAAATGTATAAACCAAACTGTAAGAGCTTTGATGACGTCCTCGTCCTTCTGAAACTATAATCCTGCAGCCTGAGCGATAAACTCATCTATTTTCCAACATCTGCATCTGAACGGGCCTGCAGGGAGTATTGTGGCTGAGCTGGAGGTCAGGTGCTGCAACATTAATCCAAAATGGGTCACAGAAACCCGAGGTCACTGTTCTTCTTTATGCAAGGAGGAATACACCCACAGAAACTCTACTTTTATTATTCATGGTTCTCTGACTAATACAGCCTTCAAAAGAAAGAGGGATGATGGAAACCAACTCCTCTATTTTATTTAAGAAGATTAATTTGAGGCGTGTTTGAGCTTTATTACTTAAGTTTGGATTTACAATCGAAGATCAGAGTCCACAGATAAATAAAATACCTCAAACTCAGCAGTTATGAGGGCATGTATGTAATCTGTTTGAGGTCGGTCTAAGTAACTGATATTCTCACTCATGCTGTCCATAGACTGTATATAGAATGGACAGAGTCTGCCTCCTTGCTGGGTGAAGCCACTCTGAGAACAGCAACCTCTGTTGATGGGCTGTAGTATAGGTCATAAATCCTGCCTCCGCCAGCAAAGCTTATGGGGCTGTGACCAACTTCAGAAATTTATTACACAGAACATAAATTTTTCTCCCCCCTGCTTGTGATGTTGACTTGGAGTTACTGTCAGACTGGTTTGTGCTCAAGTCTTCTTTTTTTCTGTGAAGCTCCGTTTTTAAAAGTTATAAGGGGGTTCATGTTTTCTTTGATTGACACCTGATACAGCCCATGGGTGTTCAGGGATTGCGTAGCTCTCCCAGGGGGTATGCTGTTTGAGCCGAGCGTCATCACAGTAACTCTCGGCGACTGCACGGCCGAATGCGCGCATCGCTACTGCGCAGTGCTGGTTTCAGGAAATGAAGAAAAATCCCGGAAATATCAAGAGCTTTTTGGCTTCAAATCTGTATACAGGTGGTAGGCGGAACCAAGTTGTCCATAGTAAATACAGTCTATGATGCTGTCACACTAACCGATTTACACCTCAAAACTATTTAGGCCTGAATATGCCAGAAAAACAAAATGATCCTGATATTTAAGAGCAAATCTAAATGATCAATGCAGTCAGTCAAACTGAGGCAAGGCAAAACTAATGTGGAGTAACTTCGTGATTTATATCAGCAGCCCTCAGACTGATATATATATATATATATATATATATATATATATATATATATATATATATATATATATATATATATATATATATATATATATATATATATATATGTATATATATATATATATACTGTATATATATATATATATATACACACACACACTACAGGCCAAAAGTTTGGAAGCAAGATAAGATTTGTACAAAAAAAAGATCATAGTTTCAATATGTAATTTGCAACACAATAAACATGACTATTGTGTAAAGAGTAACTTATCAGAAGACATTTTGACTACAGTTATCAGGTATTTCAGTTATTGTTGCTTAGACTTAGCTTTCTTTAAAGTAACCTCTGGCTTTAACAACACCTTTGCATATACCAGGCATTCGTTCCACAAGTTTTTAAAGGTATGTTCCAGGGATTGCATTCCAAGCTTTCTTAAGTTCATTAAAAAGAGACTGCTGATTCATGAGACACGTTTTTCTGACCGATTGATCCAATTCATCCTGCACAAGCTCAATTGAGAAAGGTCTGGAGACTGAGGGGGCCAAACCATCTTTTGAAGAACACCATCCTCTTCTTTTTTGTCTAGGTAACCCTGACAGAGCTTGGCAGAGAGCTTAGGGTCATTGTCTTGCTGCAAAACAAACTTATGAGCCACAAGTCTGAGTCCAAATGGAACAGCATGGTTCTGGAGGATGGAGTGGTACTGTTCCTTCTTCTTGATACCCTTTTCTTCAAACAAAGCTCCTACTCCATCACCTGCAAAACATCCCCATACCATGAAACTACCACCTCCATGCTGAATTGTGGGTGTAACACATGGTGCTTTCAGACGTTCACCAGTTTGTCTGCAGACATAGACTCTGCGTTTTGAACCAAACAGTGCAAACTTGTTTCTAGTCATCATTACTCCAATTTTTGTGAGCTTTTGCCCACTCATATCTCTTTTTCTTGTTCTGTGGATGAAGTAGTGTTTTTTTTGCAGATACGATACCCTTCAAACCAGCCTTTCTCAAACGTCATTTCACGGTTGTCAGAGATATGGGTTTCGACCTTGTCATGTTGATTTCCTCCCTTATTTTTGGTGCTGTCTTTTGCCGATCTCTCTTACTGGTGACAATAATGTGTTTATCCTCTGCTTTTGTAGTAACTCTCTTTCGTCCATGTCTTTTTCTATCATCATAACTGCAGGTTCCTCTAGTCTCTTCAGAGTGTAGTGGACCCCTTTGTTAAACACTTTTAGGCGTTTTGCAATTTCTCTTTCTGTGTATCCTTCTTTCCTCAATGTACAAATCTGTACTTTTGTTTCTTTACTCAGTTGCTTCATTCTAGCCATTTTTGGGGTAGTTTGAATGCAGTTGAGATTTATAAGGATTTTTGTATGCAGACTCTCAAAAGCCAAAAAGTTGAAGTGGATAATCCAACTGTGATTTGTTTTTCTGCTTTTGCACTGAAGTTGTGACTCTTGCAAATTTTTTCAACCCTAAAACTAAGCCCTTATTATCTTTTGCTGACATATATTTAGCAATGGTCTGTTAACATCAATGTATATCTAAAGGTAAATGGAGTAAAATGGTGCATTTCCATGAAAGCAACATCTGATCATGGAGTAAATACATCCCAAAATACATAAAACTTATGCTGGATTTTTAAAAAAAAGCATTGTGAACAAAAACTTGAAGTTACTCCCAACTGTTCGGCCTGTAATGGCCTTGCTTCCAAACTTTTGGGCTGTAGTGTATATATAAGCTCATATGTTTTAGATTTACGATAAATTTTTGACTGTCTGTTTTTTAATGTGTTCAATCACTCCACAGAGGGATGTTACAGCTAACTTGCTAGCAGCTTCTGCTTCTTCTTTGCCTCCCCTAAAGCAATCAGAGTTCAGGAACTTACAGGATAAATTTATGCTTATGTTAGCACAATATTAATTATCAAGAATTGATTGTCAGATGTTAATTTTATCAATAAAGCTGGTTATTGTTAATATCAGTATGACGCCACAGCGCTAAGTCGAACATAAGGATGTTTCGTTCCTGTGCTTCTTCATCTTCAACACTAAAATCCTTGCTGCTGACCACAGCTGCTCCATCTCCTCTAATGCATTAAGATGTATACAGAGCAGAAACCTTTTCCCAGGTGAATCTCACGAGATCAATAGTATTAAGAAGCACGACCTTACTCTCCTCTCTCTGCTCTCATCTTCGTCTGCCTCTTATCAAACAGCGGCATCAATATTTTATAGACAACCATGTCAGAGTGATCCTCCTACATCTGAACACAGAGAGGGCCAGGAGACAATTTAATAAGAGAGATGGAGGAAGATTGTGGATGCATGAATGAGAGATTTCTGGACCCTGCAAAGTCAGTTCTACCTCTGCAGCCATGAAAAACACCTGAAAATGTGAAGTGTTTCTCATGGTGTCACTAAAACAAGTCCTGGCAGGAGCAGTGAAGTAAAGGAGTTGCTAATAAAACTCTTGATCTGGACTAAAAGCTCAGTTAGAGCTGTGCCCTGTCTGTGTGAAGCTCCTCCTAAATACTCTCTCAGACTTTCTCCTCTGTCTTAATTACAGTGTGTGGATAAGGACTCGGTCAGGACATGCTGCCTTAATGGCCCGGACAGTTGGTTTGTGGAGCCAGGGAGGTGAAGGAGGGGTGGTGTAGTCAGGGTGGAGTTTTTAATAATCATGTTTGAAGGCTGGAAATAAATCTTTAAAGTTTGGTAGATGATCTTTTGTGTGAACCATAAACCATTTGAGCTTTCCAACAACAATATATGAAGTGTGTGAGATTGTCATTTTCCCCTTTATAGTAATATTTCAGGTCTGCAGCCTCCTGCAGGAAAGGTGCAGTTACTACACAAATAGTGAAGTCATTTATTACCTCTGCCAAGGAGGTTATGTTTTTGGTAGCGTTGGTTTGTTTGTTTGTCTGTTAGCAACTTTACGGAGAAAGTTACAGACGGATTGACCTGAAATTTTCACCAGATGTGCGTCTCAGCCCCAGGAGGATCCAATTACATTTTGGTGGTGATCCGGATCGCCTTCTGGATCCAGCAATTTTTTTGAAGGACTCTTTATCATTGTGAGATAGGGCAAATTTTGGAATTTTTTCATTTAACTCTATAAAAATGGCTTAGTAAAAAATTACACAAAAGGATCTCAATGAGTTTTATGAGGTGTCAAAGGTTGATCCTGATCCAGACAAAATTCCGGATACTGTGATCCAGAACACACAAAAATAAGGGTGTCGTTGGAATTTTCAATGCTGAAAGATAACCAATGAAGATACAAGGAAGTGTACGCTTACAAATATTGCATAATGAATCATGCATTTATGTATCTAATATGAGCTTTGTTGTTTTAGGAACATTATGAACAGTGAACATACCAGTTTAAACACAAATAAAAGTTAATAAAAGACACGTAACAGTAAAAGTTTTGGTGTGAATCACAATATAAGGGGGGACATGAGCTGCTTGGCGGAGGTCTGCGCTCTCCGAGTGCTTTTCTAGTTCTCTTTGATTTTTGTCTTTCAGGATAAAACTGTTCTCAATCTGGACTATTTTTTTAACTACAGTTAGCCTACTACAATTTTGATGTGTTCTCTGGAACAGAACATTATCAAACTGGAAAACGTAGCAGGATGTCAAAAAATGCAACTTCAGTTTTAACTTTGCTGGTTAAATCCTCCAGCTGCACAGGACTCTTTCTGTGCAGGGTTTGCATGTTTTCCCTGTACATTCATGTGTTTGCTCCAGATGGTCCAGTTTCCTCCCACAGACCAGAAACATGCTCCTCTGGTTAACTGGTCACTGTAAATTGCCCTTGGGTGTGAGTGTGAATGGTTCTCTGTCTCTACATGTCAGCCACTTGTCCAGGGTTAGCTTGGCCTCTCACCTAATGACAGGTGAGATAGGCTCCATCCCCCTCATGACCCCTGCAACCCCGAACAGGAAAAAGTGTAAAGGATGGATGGATGGGTGTTGGCACCTTGCTTACAACACTAACCAGTGTCTACTTCAAATCAAAGCATTTGGATGCAGCCACTCACTAAATACAAAAAATGTCAACATTTCCTGTCTCCATTCTGTGCTACTGCAGAAACATGGTGGTGCAAGATGGCATCCTGAAGATATAAAAAAACTCAGATTTTTTAATTCAGGTAAATCTATGTGTTTACACCCCTGGTTCAGGGGGAAGCAACATAAAGGAGTTAAGACCAGTAATGCAAATAATTATGTTTATTAATGACAAAAGGATCTGGTCAAACAAAGGGAAAAAGGTATCAGGCTGTGCTGCATTAACCTGGCTGGGCCATCCAGTTGCGTGAATCACTTGCTGTTCCTGGAACGGCAAGTGATTCACGCAACTGGATGGCCCAGCCAGGCTAGTGCTGCATGTGCTGGTGGCAGGTAGAGAGAGAGAGTGGGAGGAGCTTCAGGTGAGCCTTTTCTACTCCAGCCACAGGGGCCAGGTATCAGCAGCAGATGAGGGAGTCAAGGGTAACCTCAGAGAGAAAGCTACTGATCAGTTTGCCCATAATGTATGCTATATATTAAGCACATGCGTGAATATGTAACTCTATCTCTACCCTCTTTTTTCTGATAAATGCTGCTAAAAAAAACTACACACTGCACCTTTAATATACCCTTCGTCACTCAGCCACTTTTTTGATTTATGACTTGTAGGATGTTACCAACGAAAACAGGCTGTGTGTTAAAGTAATGCTCTTCTCTGGAGACCTGATCATTTCTTTTTCAAACTGACTCTGTGTTTGTTTATGCAAATTACAAAGTGTTTTAAAAGAGAAGGAGCAAAAGGAGGTGTTTTTTATTGTGCACTTTGACAGGTCCAAATATTCCAAATTGGAAATGTCCAAACATAAATGTTCTAAACTTATTTTTTTCCCCCACACATGGCACTAATATTCAAAAATCTACTTTATCCTTGTCATTATGACTTTGTCGTGAACATTAAAAAAATAATACTTGTCTCTTTGTCTCATTTATTTCTCCTAAATGTGAAAAAAGGAGGAAGTCTCCATCAAATCCCTCGAAGTAGTAAATGCTCACACCTGAAGAGCTGAAGTAGAACAATATCTGTACTTTTTAAACTTGTATTTTAGAGCAGCAGCCATCACATTTTCTTTCATGTAGTATGAGTGTTAGATAACCTTGTGTCCTTTAACATGAATATCTTTTCTATTCCTATCTTGACCCCGACCCGCACTCTGAGGTGTGTAGTGCTGCTTTTGCCAGTAGGTGGGGCTGTGGGCTAATGTCTCTGCTATCTGAGAGGCAGGCGGTGACAGACTGACTGAGGTTTTTGAGGTAAACACCTTAAAAACAAACTTCATGACTGAAAGAAACAGGGACAATATATACAAAAAAAAAAAAAAAAAAATCAAAGCATTCACAAGTGTGGATCTGAACCAAACAGTTTTATGCACAAATCTGCAAAGTTTAAACTCCCAAACTTGTTCTTGAGTAACTTTATAAAAGCCCTGAAACCAGTTAGAGCTGGAGAAGCGTCAGAAACAAGTGCATTTTGCAATCACCTCTGTCCTCTTTGACGTCCCTGCTGACGGGACAGATGCAGGATTTATTTATCTGATTCACTCCAACCACAAATGCATGTCTTCTTTGCACTGACAGGAATGATTCAGGGTTCAAACCTCCGGCATGAGTGTAAAGTTGAAACAAAGCAGTCAGTATAAAGCCCTCTGTCACCATTGACCAGAAAATCAAAGACATTTCTACTCCTGGTTTCACTGTATCATCCTGCTGCCAGCTCACTGGGTTAATTGGGACTAAAGCAGATACATTTGTAACGAAAAACTCCTCGATTAGGGCCCCTAAGATGTGAGATCATGTGAACAGACCACCTGTGGGGCTTTCATTGCTTTTTCAATATCATTCATGTCAAAGCCCCTGCACTCGCTGACACAGCTTGAGCTGAGGGAGAAGATGTTTCAATTCAGGCACTGAGCAAAAAAACTCAAACACAAGACGCGGGGGGCTCTGGCAGGTTTCAGCTCTGACAAACCCAGAAAAGAGAGCTCCCAAACGCTCTTTGAATAGCAGGACGTCCATCAAAGCATCCAAATGAGGACATTTAGGGGGAACCTTGGCACATCAGACAGACACTCCCAATACACACCACCTTTCTTCTGGGCTGCTGGAAAAGAAAGATCAAAGTTTGTGCAGATGAAAAGGGTCTGTTCCCTGCATTTATGCCCCCCATTCAAACACTCCCTCTTTTTACTAAATTAAGAAAGCCGGCTTCGGCAGGCATGTGAAGAGGACTTTAACAATTATGGAGATGCTCCAACTCAACCCCTGCCTCTAATTACTGGTCTCTGATGGTTAAAAGGGCTTCCTCTCTGGAGCCGGGACTCTTCAAAACTCTGAGCCCTGCACAGGGTGAAAACACTGCACCGGAGAGAGTTCAGATTTATCAAATGTTTTATTGTCAAAATAAAGTTCATATTTGCTTTTTCTCACAAAAAGAGACATCTACACTTTGTACAAATTTACAGTATAGCTTATAAAGTTTTCTTTTATACACAAATGTACAGGTTTTTACATATTTTTTGTATAAATACACTTGAAATTACAAAAAAGTGAGGACCCGTAAAATAGTTGGGCGCTTTTAAGGCTTAATTTAAACCATCTTTGACATGACAGATATGCAGGGGTGGAAAGAAACATACATTTACTCTCTTTACTGATCCAGTAGCTTTTGTGCACTTGCACTTTTCTGAGCAATTTAAAATGGCATTACTAGTAAAATGAAGTTCATCTAAACACTGGCCAACTTTTCAACAACAACCAGCTGATTGGGCGATGTTTACACTTTAAAAAACTCACCAAATGGACGTGTCTCAGTTCTGGTCAAATTATCTAAACACTTTTAAAGCTAAAATTGCATCATTAAATAGCTTGAAGTAATTATATTTATCGAGACATAACATGAAAATGTTGCATTTGCACCCATTTTGAAGTTCTCGATATAGTTCGTGATAATCAGCACATCCAGCTTTGAATACACGCTGTAAAAAGTGTAATCCTGACAAAATATGCTGCAAAAAAAAAAAAAAAACTTCAATAACTTCACCCTGGACAGCTGCACGGTCAAACCCATTTCACAATTCAATTCTGATGTTTAACTCTAGAGTTTTTTTTTTTTTTCACAATTTAGGGGGATACAAAAATGTGTTTCAAGTAAGAACTTTAATTCCAGTACCTAATGACTTCCCAGACTGGTAGTTTTTCCTCTGCTAGAGTGAAATGTCATATAAGTAGCTGTACTTTTAATTGAGAAGTGTTTTAGTCCTCTATCCACCCCTGTTGAGTTGTACAAAATGAACTGGCACTCTTAAATGAAAACTCTTTGTATGGAGCTGGTGAGGAGCCAGACTGTCTCAGATAATGCCCAGATTTTGTGAGTACCTCTAACCCTTCTACTCAGAGAGGTGTGTGTGATCACCAGGTACATTGTTTTAGCCAGCTCTCCCTGCAGAGGTGAGTTTTGGGGGGAATAAAGCAGCAGTTCATTACAATGCAAATTGCTTCAGACAGGGAGTGATGGGTTATCTCCCCAACAATTAGCACTCCTCATAAGCTGCTTTCTCCCTCATTCAAACCTGGGACAATGGCATTTGCTTGGGGCAGGACACGGAGCTGGCCGTGCCTGACCTCCACGTCAGTCCGGTACTAACGTCACTATACATGGAGCCGCTCGTGCCCTTGCTCCCCCAGCAGCAGCGCGTGCAAAAAGTCCTCCACGAGTCCAAAGTTTTCCCGGACCAGATCCACACTCCGGACGTGATGCCCACCAGAAGGCACATGAAGTACTTCAACATAAAAACGGCGTAGTCCGGACTCCTGCGGTCCCTCTCCAGCAGACAGTTCGAGCAGTTGTGTGTGATCTCCCAGCTCTGCCTGTTGTGCTGCTCGTAAAAGTAACACGCCACAATGATAGTGGCTGGAACAGTGTAGAGCACCGTAAAGATGCCGATTCTTATCATAAGTTTCTCCAGTTTGTCCGTCTTTGTGCCCCCCTGTTTAATAACGCTGCGGATCCGGAACAGAGACACAAATCCAGCCAGGAGGAACATAGTGCCTATAAATAAATATATCACCAAAGGGGCCAAAACAAAGCCCCTCAAGTTGTCCAAGTTCTGGTTCCCCACGTAACAGATACCAGCAACAGAGTCCCCGTCCACGGAGCTAAGCGCCAGCACCGCGATGGACTTCATACTGGGGATGAGCCAGGCGGCCAGGTGGAAGTACTGGGAGTAGCTGGCGATGGCCTCGTTGCCCCACTTCATCCCAGCAGCGAGGAACCAGGTCAGAGATAAAATGACCCACCAGATGGAGCTGGCCATGCCGAAGAAGTAGATGAGGAGGAAAACCACGGTGCAAAGCGCAGGGCCGGTGGTCTCATAGTGGATGTGCTCCAGGTCGAACTCCCGGTTGCAGGCAACTTTCTCATGTCCCGCTATCAGTCTGACGATGTAACCGATGGACACGAACATGTAGCAGGCAGAGAGGAAGATGATGGGTCTCTCTGGGTACTTAAAGCGCTCCATATCTATGAGAAAAGTGGCAACAGTGGCAAAAGTTGACACGAAGCACAACACAGACCAAAGTCCGATCCAGAAGGCGGTGAAAGCCCGCTCATCGTGCGTAAAGTAAGGGTTGTGGCACGGCATAGCACAGTTTGAGATCTGACCCGTCTTGACGCGGTTGTAGAGCGGGTGTCGGTCCGTGTTCACCGGCACCATAGGCTCCAGACACTTGCAGCCCAGCTCACACGGCGCTCCAGGCGGCTTGTATTTCCCAGGCGCGCCGGGGCGGCTCGGCTTATTTTTAGGAGGATTGTAACCCTTTCCGGGATGGTTGGTGGGTTTGGAGAGGACAGGGGACACTGTGGTGGAGTCAGTCCTGTTGTAGTCCATACAGAGGGTGTCCGGGTTCCCCTGCACCGGCAGCAGGTCACACTTCATCCTGTCCGGCCAGGGGAAGCCGTACTGCCTCATTAGAGGCGCACAGCCGGCCCGGGCTCGCTCACACACGCTCCGGCACGGCGGGAGAGGTTTCTTATAGTCTTCCAGGCAGATCGGGGTGTACATGCTGCACAGGAAGAACTTCAGGTCCGGGGAACACTGGATCTCAACCAGAGGCCAGAACTGGTGCACCTCTAGTCCCGCCTCGTCCTGCGTGTCGTGATTGAACTGGTTGGGCATGTAGGTGTAGTTATAGCCGATCCCCTTACACAGCGGCACGGCGATCTCCTGGCAGGTGATCTCCTTGGCTGTGGTGCAGCTGGATCGGGGTAAAAGAGCGAGAGACAGAAGCAGGTAAATCCCAAACAGGTCCATCGCTCCGGCGCGTCGTGTCCCCCCTCTTCTGCTCTGGATCCAAACAGAAATAAATCCTCTGCCTTCCTCTCCGCTTCGCTCAGATGTCGCACAGCGAACCCATCTCACTTCTCTCAGGATCTTGCACAGAGTTGCAAGCAATGTGCAAGCCGTGTTTACTTTCAGCTGAGGGGAAGGAGGAGAGAAAGCAGCCTTTAGGGCGGCGAGCAGCAGGCAAGATGGCTGAGAGGAGAGTCCACCTCCTTCTGGAGAAGCCCCCTGAATCCTCCCAGAGATGGATAAGAAAATAACAAAATAACAACTGCTGTCTATCTGTAAAAAAAAAAAAAAAACACAAAACACGGGCCCCTTGTGTCCCCAAATCACAGCGGCTACATTAAGTCAGGATGTCCTTCCTTAGTCCCGGTTCCCATACAAATCAACGATTTAGCGACGACGTGGAGACAATATATACAGGAGCCATGCAGGCGACACCCCCGGAGCTGCTCCTCCAATCACAGAGTAGCGGGGGCGGTACCTTCTAGTTGTCCATCAAGTTTTTTACCTACATGTTTTGTTATATAGCTGATCATGTATCTGGTTTTGCCAGTGTCGGGTGCTTGAGTGTGTAGGACGGAGAAAGAGCGAAACCTCAACGTGTTCAAATCATAAGTTTAATCATTTTAATGAGGTCAGAAATATGTTTGGACCGAAAGAAGGTGTCATCCTACCACCCCCCCCCCCCCCCCCACACACACACACACAAAAAAAAAAAATTGAACAACATCATTTTGAGCGTAACCGTCATCATCAATTAATTATAAAGCAAATTTGAAACAATGACGCGCAGTTTGCAGAAGTTTAACCCCGACTCTCCCCCAGTGACTGAACTTTCTGCTCATCCTCTTCACGCACAATCTCTGATGGTGGAACAACAATAATAGAGTCATGAAGGAGAAGTCTTAAGCTCAGATCGTTTCTGTGTCTGACTGAGTGAATGTAAGTGTGAGAGAGGCCGGTTTGGGTAAATTGGCTCATTTGCGCATGAGAAGACTTCCTGGGGAGCTGTCTGTCCTTGTGAAAAGCTGTTTTATTTTTTAAATGAGGTGCTAATGTTTCGTTTAACGCTTGCATAGAGCTCCGCGGGAGGCGTAATTGCGCGAGGCAAAGAGCGAGCAGCAGCAGCCGAAACAGAGCTCTGCTATCAGTGAGTGTGTCCGGGCTGCTCTGTGGTTTGCTGACAGTAATCTTTTGCTGCTAAATTGTATTTTTCATGCCTGATATTGTCCTGTTATTCTGTAGAACAGACCTGATGTAGTGTGTCTTTGTCAAAGTCAGAGTATTCTTATCTGTCCTGCTGTTCACTGAACTCTTCAATGTGCCAGTAGATGCTTTAAACAACTGAAACACTGAAAAGTAACTAAACAGAGCAACACTATTACTTTGCAGTGATGTGGATAGACAATCACAAACAACCATCCGCTACATTAACAGGGCTGGAATTTCTTCACAGAATAGACTTAAAAAATGAGTTTTAATGTTGTTCCATAGGACCTACATGTTACTAAATTAATGATCAGCTACAGGTGTGCTCTGTGATTGTGACTTTGTTTTTTAAGACTGTAAGCACAAATATTGTTGGTCTCTGCAGAGATGATAATGATTTTTGACTCCTCTGCAGGTTTGCATGGCCAAATGACCAAATCACCTCCATGGGCATGCCAAAACAATGATATATGATAGATATGATTATCTGAATTAGCTGACAAAAGAGTAGAAAAGATGGTGCATGTTTGTTCTAAAGTTACCTGGCTAAGACGCACAGTGTTTTCCCTCTACCTGGAGTCTGCGGGACTAAATAAATCCTGTTTATACAATAACTTGTTAGAATATTATTCTTCACCGGATCTCCGCGATCCCGATCAGCTGTACTACGAACTCGATAACTGAATCCAGTTCAGATCTGTGCGCGCACACGTAAAGGGGATCGGGTCAGTGCCACCGGACCAATCTCCACAATGGAGAAGGCTGCACGTCATTTTTCACAGCTGCAGAACAGAGCTTTATTTAAACAGTGAGACAGACACAGCCGCTAAAAGCCGGAGGGACTGCCGGCAAAAAAAATCACCGGTTGTGTAAATGACATTTGTGCGTTCATAAATTTATGGCCCCCTAATATATTGTCATGCAGCGTGTGTGATCACCACCATCACTGACCTCATTATTTAAGATACAACAGCAGTGGGGAAAAGAGTACGTGGGAGCAAATAAAAATAAATCTAAAAACATCCTTTAAAGTAGTTTGTAAGTTTATTGGAAGATTTTATTTGTACATATTTCAACGCGTAAACAGTGATTTCCTCACAGTGCCTTTTTTTTTTCTCCATCATCTGATGGTCACGTCATCTGCAGACACATTTGGGGTTTAGAGTTTTCTTATCTGCTTCAATGAATTCTGAAAGATGACTAACAAATTTGAACCTGGAGCTTGGCAAATTTTAGTGTATTGCTTAGACTTCTTGCTACCTGAATATTGAGGCCGTCCGAGGAAAACCTGTAACGTTCATAGAGAACGTCATCAGGTAAATCAAACGGATTTGAACAATCATGAATATAACGCTCTCGGCGGAGCGCTCCTCTCACTATCCGTGCAACGATGTCCCCGGGATCCGGCAAAAGTGGGCAAGCCATTTTCCAAGAGATCCGATTGGTCATCGGGCGGTTTTTTATACCTGCTGAGATCTTATCCTGAAACATAACCTGCTCCGGAGCAGGTTTGGCGTTCCGCGTAAGTTACCGGGGCAACGGACCCGGATAAAAAGAGATCCACCTTCGTAGTACAGAAAACCCAGAAGTTATCCAGAAGTTATCTCGCTAAGACCAAATCCAGCTTCATAGTACAGGCCTCTGGAGTCTGCGGGACTAAATAAATCCTGTTTATACAATAACTTGTTAGAATATTATTAAGGACACAGATGATGCACTTAAAGCAAAACATGAATTCTGGAGTTAAATAAGCTCTGAGCTAAGCTGATGACTTTTATCTATCAGTTTATCTTCAAACTCGGAGCCTCTGTTATGGAGACTGTCTTGGCTCTGTCCAGTGTCAGATTAAGTCCCAGCCATCAAGTATTTTTAATGGATATATAAAAGCATTTGAACTGCTAAACATGATTATTTATTATCTCTTATTGTATGTGATACCTTGTCTGAGTCTGCGATCAAACTGAATTTAATTGTTAACTCAGTCTATTTGATAATTTCAAAGTGAAGACCTTTGGACCTCTTAGTGTGTGTGGCTGCAGCAACTCTGACTATATTTGTCCTCCAGGTAGTTTTTTATGTTGTTTAACTCCCTGTAGTCTGAAGTGAGGTTGACTGGTGTAATAGGGAGCCAGTCAGCAACAAGATAAGCAGCGTTCCCTTTCCACTCAGCCAGAAAACCTTCATGCATTTCCTTTCTCCTTTCTTTCTCTCCAGAAGGATGGGGTGAGGTTCACCACTTTGTGAACAACTGCGTGAGTAAATAGTCGAACAGTTTAAGAACAACACCCGGTCAAAGGACTAACAAGAGTTTGTCTTGGTGTTTTAGTGAATGGCTGAAAATCCAGACAAACATCTCTACTACATTCTTTACAAAATGCATAAAATATCAGAATGTAACAGAAAAGATGATAAACATACAGATTTTTTTACAGCCCAGTTGGAGTTTGTTGAAAATGCTGAAATCTTTTTAATTTGACCAGTCCTTGAACCAACTCAAGTCAACATAAAAAGTACAAAACCCAATTCCATTGAAGTTGGGAATTGTGATAAACATAAATAAAAACGGAATACAATGATTTGCAAATCCTTTTCAACCTATATTCAATTGAATACACTACAAAGACAAGATATTCAATGTTCAAACTCATAAACTTTATTGCTTTTTTGCAAATAATCATTAACTTTAGAATTTGATGGCAGCAACACGTGACAAATAAGTTGGGAAAGGTGGCAAAAAATACAGAGAAATTTGAGGAGTGCTCATCAAACACCTATTTGGACCATCCCACAGGTGAGCAGGCTAATTAGGAACGGGTGTGTGCCACGATTCGGTAAAAAGCAGCTTCCCCAAAAATTCTCAGTCATTCACAAGCAAGGATGGGGTGAGGTTCACCACTTTGTGAACAACTGCGTGAGCAAATAGTCGAACAGTTTAAGAACAACAGTTCTCAAAGTACAATCAGAAGAAATTTAGGGATTTCAACATCTACGGTCCATAATATCGTCAAAAAGTTCAGAGAATCTGGAGAAATCACTGCACATAAGCAGCATGGCCAGAAACCAACATTGAATGCCCGTGACCTTCGATCCCTCAGGCGGCACTGTATCAAAAACCAACATAAGTGTGTAAAGGATATCACCACATGGGCTCAGGAACACTTCAGAAAACCACTGTCAGTTAATACAGTTCGTCGCTACATCTGTAAGTGCAAGTTAAAACTCTACTATGCAAAGCGAAAGCCATTTATCAACAATATCCAGAAACGCCACCGGCTTCTCTGGGCCCGAGCTCATCTAAGATGGACTGATGCAAAGTGGAAAAGTGTTCTGTGGTCTGACGAGTCCACATTTCAAATTGTTTTTGGAAATAGTGGACGTCGTGTCCTCCAGGCCAAAGAGGAAAAGAACCATCCAGACTGTTATCGACGCAAAGTTCAAAAGCCAGCATCTGTGATGGTATGGGGGTGCATTGGTGCCCAAGGCATGGGTAACTTACACATCTGTGAAGGCAATATTAATGCTGAAAGGTACATACAGGTTTTGGAGCAACATATGCTGCCATCCAAGCAACGTCTTTTTCATGGACGCCCTTCATGCTTATTTTAGCAAGACAATGCCAAGCCACATTCTGCACGTGTTACAACAACGTGGCTTTGTAGTAAAACAGTACGGGTACTCGACTGGCCTACCTGCAGTCCAGACGTGTCTCCCATTGAAAATGTGTGGCGCATTATGAAGCGTAAAATATGACAATGGAGACCCTGGACTGTTGAACAACTGAGGCTGTACATCAGGTAAGAATGGGAAAGAATTTCACCTTCAAAGCTTCAACAATTAGTCTCTTCAGTTCCCAAACGTTTATTGAGTGTTGTTAAAAGGAAAAATGATGTAACACAGTGGTAAACATGCCCCTGTCCCAACTACTTTGGCATGTGTTGCAGCCATGAAATTCTGAGTTAATTATTATTTGAAAAAAAAAAAAAAAGGTTTATGAGTTTAAAAATTGAATATCTTGTCTTTGTAGTGTATTCAATTGAATATAGGTTGAAAATGATTTGCAAATCATTGTATTATGATTTTATTTATGTTTTTCACAATTTCCCAACTTCAATGGAATTGGGTTTTGTACTTCATTTGAACTGGACTGTACTGTATACTGAGATACTGTTCACTTGCTCACATTTAGCCCATGGTGGTGGAGGTGGAAGGAGGAAGATATTTCCCTCAAACTATAAAAAATCATGTTTTCCCAAGCTGATGGTTGTGTATGAACCATGAGCATTAATGTGTGAAGTGATTTTACTCCTTTTTTTTTAACTTTCCAGACAGCCACAACTGACAGTGCAGAAAGAAACCAAAGCTAAGAGCTTCATTGGCTGTGATGAGTAAAAAAATGTCTCTGAATGTAGCAAGCATTATTTTATTTTAACTTATTTGAGGTTCTTATTGGGAAAACTTTTGCTGAAAATATCCTGTAGATTTACTGTCGTGACAGTGTGGCCTTGTTAATATGCAATATGCAGAGTAGATCATACACAGGATCAAACCAGTGTTACGTGTCCATGAAAAGCATACTGCTAAAAGGAAATGATCTAGAGACCCAGTGTCCCTGTCTCCTGGTGAAAAACCATCGACCTGGATATCCCCCCATCCTCTCTTACCTGTTTATGTAGAAACACATCAACTGGTAAAATTACACTTACAGTGTGTCTGACATTTCTCTAAAGCAAGATAACAACATATAAAGACACAACTTAATGTAAAACAATCAAGTTATCAAAACAATAAAAATAACTCCAACAGTAAATTTTGGACCTGTCAGATCTTACATTAACAGTAATGAGATATTTCCTCATAAACTCTGAAACTGTTGTATGATAGAAAATTAAAAGACACATCCTCCTGCAGTTCCCGGTGAAATGAGGCCAGAGAGGCCGACCATGTGATCCGCACATCTGCTCGAAACTTGATATTCATTTTAAAACAAGAGGGATGCATGTGAATAGACAGTTTGTCCTCTGCTTGCATGCTCTTCTGCAAATTTACTGCAGAGTTTGGGTGATGCAAAGCTGCACGGATGTGTGTAAAAACTATCTACCTCTGATTCAGATACGATGCATAATGTGAGCTTGTGTACAAAAGGTGGGGTGCAGTGCCGCTGGAGTTTAAGTTTGGTGGTATTGTGTTTGGATTTGAGCCAGGTCATCAGAGAGAGAGCGTACGGGTTAAATAACTCAGACTGAGAGCAGCATCAGGAGGCTGATAGAGTGATTTGGAGGTGTGGGATAACAGGGATGAAGCTTTTCCTAAAGCTGCTCTGACTGGGAAACAAGATTTTGTCTGGGTGGTGCAGTATGCAGAGTAATATGAATGTATAGCCTCTATTAAAAAAGATCTCTTTGCGGTTAAGAGATAATCCAACAACCTGAATCTATGTGTGTGTTATATAAAGAAATGAGGGTAGGCAGGGTTGTATGATGGCGGAAGTAGAGACGATGTCCAGTCTGAGGAAATCCACTCAACACTGTGAAAAAATACCCTTAAAGAAACACTCAGAGACCACTGAATAAAATCTGAGTTGCATCAGGACCTGAAGTTAAAGTGTTCAGTTTAAAGCTCTATTCTGTCGGTCAGAATCAAGTGCTCCACTGAAGAAAAGGAAGCCCCATCGAGTGTGACTCTCTGCCAGATCCTGGACTTTCCTCTGAGATGGCGAGATAAAGATATGCTAATGCAACTTTATCTTGTAAAGGAAAGCTTGGAGGAGATTTAGCCAATCTGCTGGACACAATTCCAAGAGCCTCAGTGGCATTTAGCGGGCTCGCGCTAACCCGGGGCTGCTTGTTAAGACTTCATTAGCTGTGTTTGCTCAGGCCTCTCCTCTCCAAAGAGGTGGAGGAGGGCTCCCTGGGCTCCAGCCTCAGACCCACTATACACTCTCCATATGGGGCTCGTTTGCTCACGGCTGGTCTGGTAATCACTTTCAGGTGGAGCTGGAGAAAAAGGAACAAGGCTGAAGGGATTTTGGAGAGTGCTGGACACCTCCCTTCCCCCTGTTGCCCCCCAGCCCCCACTGATCACCTCCTCCTCCTGCAGCAGGGTGCTCCTGAGGTGACAAAGCATGGAACGTGTACCCTGTGAATTAGCTCACCTAGGGCCCATTACCTTAACAAACACAGCCGGCCCCTCCAATCAGCCTACTGCTGGGAGGACAGGCGGCCCCCGTAAATCCTTCCTTACAGCCACAAACCCTTTTTGTGAGACCAGAAACGACCTGGGTACAAGTGTTTTTGTGAGTGTTAACTCGTAGAGCATTACATTTAGACAGGAAGTGTGTTTCTCTGAGCAGAATTTAAAAAAGTGTGGTATAGAAAATCAGGTTTGAAAGCATCCGCTTAATCAGCCTAATAATGGAGTCAGGCAGGTCTACAGCAGCAGCAGCAGGACATCTGTAGCAGTGATCCAGGGGAACCTAAAGGATGAGGGAGCTCAGGGACTCCAGAGGAGACTGTGGTTAGTCACTATGTTTACATGTAGTTCTATTATTGATCTATTTGTTTCATCCACCTGGCACTGGACTCTCTTTAAAACTTGCAAACACATTAGTCTGACTGAAATTGCTCTGAAATTGACCTGAGCTGGTCTTTGGGTTATGTACATGCTCTGGAGTTCACACACCAAGCTTTGGGTTGGAGTTGAACAGGGAGCAGAGTAGTAAACAAAACAAAAATGAATAAGGGGAAGACGTGACTTTGTGCTGACTAAGTTCAAGTTTTAATCTCTGGAGTTGTGTTGCAGTTTAGTCTAGGACAGAGACCTTTTGAGAAGGATGATGAAGTCCCTGATTGAGTCGTCTTGGTCACAACTTGTTCTCCTCTAATTAATCAAGCACTTATCTCAGGTAAAAATAACCAACACCAGCCCTGACCTGCAGCAGCTGACATGATGGACTAACCCTATCAGGCACTGCTGACCATGTTGTTCAATTCAAGCTAATACTAAAGCAGTTTTTACACTAGCTCATCTGACGTAGGCCTATGTTGGTTATGAAACTTGGTGAATTGCCCATCTGGAGAGGTCAATTGTGTTTGTGGTCATTTCCAAGCAATCTACATGTTTAGTTTACTCTAAAAGTGATCTAGGGAACACCTGCAGGTCTGTGATCTGTATGAACTGATTCATTATGAACTTAAACTGTTGTGTTTGTGTATGTATGCGATGCTTTGTGCAGCTTTATTCTTATAATAAAAGACTGTTTAAATCTCTCTATGCTTCCTATAACATTTACACTGAAATTGATTGTAACCAGTAAATCATAATGTGTCACAAACATCTGTACAGTGGCTTAAACCTGTAGAGAAGTAGATCCACTTTCAGTTCCACAGCTAATTAAAAATCAAAATTGACTCCATGAGGAGAATCCGTACCGTCCTCCTGCAGCCAAAAAAACTGGCTGTTGTTGGCTGCCGTCCCTGAGCTAAGTGAGTTTGTGTGTGTGTGTGTGTGTGTGTGTGTGTGTGTGTGTGTGTGTGTGTGTGTGTGTGTGTGTGTGTGTGTGTTATTGTGTAATTGTTTAGAGTTTTCAGTTATCCGATGCCACAAGAATCTGGCCAGCCAGCAGAGCTCTGCCTTGGCTGCTTCGACGCCTGCTACTTGACACTCCTGTCAGATTTATCTCCCCTCTTGTAAAACAGCATGCAACTTGTTCTCCTGTGCAGAAAGGTAAGTGAGCCCAGGGAGAATCGCATCACTCAGGAAACACACACACATACACACAATCCAGTCTAATAGCAGGAGCAGATTTTTAACCCCTGTGTGTAACTGGAGATGAGGCCTGCATGCCTGGACCGACACATGGACAGCACTTCAGCAGGTAGACTTTCCATCTGGTTCCAACACAGGAGGAGAAACGCTTGTCTCTGGATCTTGAAGATTGTTGTGATTTAATTTTCAGGCTCTCACTCCTGTTGTCATTTCTGCCCAGCGCTGGGATCCCATGGAAGAGGTCGGCCTGTTTCTGACCAGACTGAGGAGGGGTCACACTCATTTCTACAGGGAGGGAAGAGAAAGTGACATCCTGCTAATTAACTCATCTCATTATTATTCATGCAGTCTTTGAATGCATCCTGTTCCACCTCTACCTGTGCACCTTTAACCTGATGTCACTTGCTACAAGCTAAAAAACCTGGGTTTGGATCTTGTCTTGTCAGCAAGATCTCTTGGGATGTGTTGGATTTGCTGAAACTGCTTTTAAACACAGAGATGGAAGAATTTGTGCAGCTTTTTAGAAAATTTCAGTTGGGATACTTTGTTCTTGTGTGTTGCAAACTATGATGTAATACCGAGAAGAGTTAGTCTTTAATTCTGCAGGAACTGATGATGCTGCACGTGATTCAAATATGCAAAGGACAATGACTAGCAAGGTGTCTTTTATTGCAAACAATTGGACCAAATGGAGGCCGTTTTTTAAGGATAGGAGAAGGACAGTTTTCACTCTACTGTTGTGTTTTCCTTGTAAAATTCTAAGGCCTGATCAATGACCATCATGTCTAATGTGTTGTTCCCTCATTGAAACAAAGCAGATCCTGAG